GATATATAACGTGTATTCACCAATCAGCAACACAACAAAAAGGTATATAACGTGTATTCACCAATCAGCAATACAAACATATATGGAAGTAGTGAAGAGCGTTATATTTATTTATATACAAGATATGACCTAAAGAATAATGTTCGCTAGAAATATGTATTCTTTCAATTTTTAAAAGAGTCTAGGGTCTGTAAGCAGTATTTGGGCCACTGCCATTCTCAGTATTTTCCATTTTTTTAAACATAGATTCTGTCTCTGTTGTTTTTTTTTTCTTATATAAATTCGACTTTGGTTCTATTAATGTTTGTTTATAGCTGATACTTCGTTATTGTCACTCGGCGGAGCGTACTCTTCTTACAGTTTCTGATTGTGGGATTTCTTCTTTAATCCCTTAGGTCCACAAAGTGAGTAAAAACAGGAGTGAGGACCGATTTCATACTCTGTCGTCACCCAGTCATGGACTACATGGACATTAAAGTGGACACTTTTGATTTAGTGGAAGATGCGGACGCTGGCACCACTACAGAGGGAGCCACCTTAATCCTGCTTTGTAACACCACCATTACCAACTGTAACGCGACCGACGCCATGTTTAGAAACATCACGACCAGTCAGCTGGAACGAATTGTCAGCGTTGTAGTTCCTATTCTTTTTGGAATCATCGTCATCGTTGGGTTGATCGGCAACTCTTTGGTGGTTGTGGTGGTCATCTTCAACCCTCCAATGCGCTCAACCACCAACTTGCTCATCATCAATCTAGCCGTGGCTGACCTCCTCTTTATCGTCTTCTGCGTGCCCTTTACTGCTTGGGACTACGCGCTTCCTTACTGGCCCTTTGGCGACATCTGGTGTCGTATGGTGCAGTACTTGGTGATCGTGTGTGCTTATGCCAGTATCTATACTCTCGTTCTCATGTCTCTGGACCGCTTTATGGCTGTTGTACATCCAATCACTTCTATGTCCATCCGCACCGAAAAGAATGCTTACGTTGCCATCACAGTCACGTGGTCTCTGATCCTCTTAGCCTGCTTGCCGGCTCTTCCAGCTCACGGGGAAGTGTCCTATGATGTGGGGTCCAATCGCTACTCCATGTGTGTATTTCTCCAAGAAGGCTACAACTACCCGGCTTATCAGATCTCCTTCTTCCTTTCTTCCTACGTGGTGCCGCTCGTGCTCATCTTCTGCCTGTACGTGCTGATGTTGAAAAGATTGTGGTTCCACGTGGCTCCGGGGGGAAAGGTCAGCGCCGGGAGCCATAAGTCCAAGAAGCGGGTCACCCGGATGGTAGTGATAGTGGTCGTCATCTTTGCTGTCTGTTGGTTCCCCATTCAGATCGTCTTGCTCCTGAAGAGCTTGGACAAGTACGAAATGAAGTTAAGACCTGGCCGGGTTGTCTTCCAGGTGACGTCACACATCCTAGCTTACACAAACTCCTGCGTCAACCCCATCTTGTACGCCTTCTTGTCGGATAACTTCCGCAAAGCTTTCCGGAAAGTCGTCACGTGCATCCCAACCGGAGAACAGTCCAAGAATGGTAGGCAACCTTACGAGCCTGTTGAGCGAGAAACAGTCGGAACCAAGAACACTTCTGCTATGAAACTGAATAATGATACAATCTGATCAACTTCCTTCATCTCCGCCAGAATATTCTGGTGATCACGTCTCCATTTCGAAGTGTCTGTGTAACGTTTTTTTTGTTTTTTATAGTGTTCTTACTTCGTTACTGTTCAGTGTCAAAAGTATATTCTGTGTCGCTACTTGTTCTAGTCAGAGTATTTCCAGACCTAGTTGTTACAACCGCGGAAGTGACGTCACTAATGGTATTATGCTCAAAAGCGGAAATGACGTCACCATTTGCACCGTTACTGCGAGTTATGTTGTTACAGCTGCTATTCGAGTGAGATTTAATCTCATTGAGTGGTAGTAAATAGATTTTCTAAATAAAAAAAATCTCACAATTTTAGTCACCAGCGTTGAGTAAGGGGATTTAGTTATATGCTGCATGCAAGGTTTTAAATATTCCGCCTTTTGTGGGGGTCTAGCCTGATCACTTCAGAGACTATTACTGATGTGTTGAAGGCAGCGAAAAAACAGACACACAGAAAAATCTATTGCTTCTAATAAGTGTTTGGTATAAGATTGGCCTGATTTTCTTCCAATTAAAATCAACAACAATCTCTCTAATATTGATGGATAGATTGCGGTGCTGACAAGTCAGAAAAGTTGATATATATTTCTCTTTGAAGGTTTTTGTTGTTTTAAAGGAAAATATAATAGTTTCCAAGGTTTATGAACGAGAAGAATTTAAGACTTGGTAATTTGTACCTAATAAGCATCTCCTTGTATTATACAATGGATATTGTTGTCGTCTACCTGCTAAAATGCGGGGTTTGATTCCTGACGGTGGACAGAGCTCAGATAGAACATTTTGTGGCTTTGCGCTAATACAAACAAAATAATTTTATTATATGTTTTGTTATTTGTGAGAAAAATCCGTAAGTTCTTGTGGTAAAGGTTTCAAAGTCAAATATGTGTCGTTCTTTTGAAGTGCATGTATCAGTGTGGTGCACCAGTAAATTCCGATGTTTGACGAGTTGGCTACCTCGTAAAAATGGGGCTCTACGGGAGATGCCAATTTGAATGACGTCACTAACACATCATCAACTAACACCTGATGAGAATGAGATTAAGCAGAAGAATGAAAGTTGGGGAAATATCAAGCTCAAAACGTATTTTGTCCCAAGCCCACCACAGTAGAGACGAACGTTTTTTTCCACAACTGATATTTAAATACATGTACTTGTTCTTTTATCATAACTAGTATAGTTTTAGTGTTTGTGTGTGTGTGTAATAAAATTTTATTTCCACAATACTGTCGCATTATTCTCGCCAAACAACATGAACAAAAACTTGGATTGTATTTTTTAATTTGTCAAAACGTTCATTAAATTTCACAAATTGCTCACAGAAAAAAACAAAAAACAATCATACTTCTTTACAAAATATCGGAAACGTTTCGAATGGAAATATCTATATTTCATGAAACAAGTTCTCATCAGTTTCCCGATCCTTGCTACAGATAACATGTAGTCACTTGTATCAAAGCGATTTCCACATTTACTATTGGATAATAATAAAAAATCCACCAAAGGTGCCCAATAATTAACTAGATTTTATAATTACGATAGCAGATGTTACTGTTGACTGCAGGCCACTCTAGATAGGTCGGGTCAATAAACATGAGACAGTAGAAATCATAACTTAGGTTTCATTCAGACAAAAATCTTCAATTTATTTTCTAACGCAAGTGTCTTGCGGCTACACAAAATCTACAGCCGAGTCAGGGATTCGATATCTGATTCTGTTCAACCAATCAGGTCACAGCACCAAATGGGCTGTTACTGGTTCAACCAATCAGGCCACAGCACCAAATGGGTTGTTACTGGTTCAACCAATCAGGCCACAGCACCAAATGGGCTGTTACTGGTTCAATCAATCAGGCCACAGCACCAAATGAGCTGTTACTGGTTCAACCAATCAGGCCACAGCACCAAATGGGTTGTTACTGGTTTAATTTTGGAGAATGCTTTATTTCTTTCATTGAAAGGGTGAGCGTGGTCGCTAGAAGAGCAAAGTTCCATCTCTGTGACCAACGCACAGATCGAACCCCGAATTTTAGTGTTATAAGCCATCAAGCTTACAACTGAAGCACCGTGTGGGGGCTGAGGAGCTCCAAAACGTAGATTTGTCAGTATCTGTGTGGTGACTGGTATGTGTCGGTACCTGTATGGTAAATTTCTGGTGTATTTTTAAAAAGTTGAGACTTCAGAACTTCTCCAAGTTTCCACATTAATAAGGTAAGATGGTACCAGTAAAAAAAAAAAACTGAAACTGGGTCGATGCCATTAATTCCTTGAGAGTTTTGGGATAAGTTGACAGTACACGTATCCAAACTATGTTACAATTACTCTACAAGTGTTAAAATTAGTTTAAAACTGTCATAAATTATATAACTAAAATAGCAAAATAGTGTATGTGTTTCATTATTCATTAAAACACGTGAAAACTCCAGTTTTTCTTGTCATAAAACTGTAAATTAACCCAGAGGAGTTAATTTGAAACAAAACATCGAATCACAACATTAAGAATAAAAATAAAAACGTACCTGAAATAAGATTCCTAATCACTGCTTAAAAAACAAATAAATATCAACATTGATTTATTCTGAAATACTTTCGTACAGCCAGACCGTAAGCCTAACTTGGTTGTGAAGACGTTGTTAGTGAGTAACGTAGACAACGGACTAGAATAGAGTCGGTAATGGACATACGTTGCCACTCCGAAATCCATCTTTAAAAACTCCAATTTAAAGCCATATTTAGTTCAGCAATCACCTTTGCTTGTTAAAATCTAGAACAGCGTGCGGATGAAAGTTGAAAGTTTAAAATCGGCTTTACATTACAGCATATCCTATCGGACAACCAAGGAACTAGCGTACTGAAATATTTAGTCATAATATTTAATTTGTTTTTGAACCAGTGTTTGGAAATACGAGTTTAAGATACAGATTACTTAACTATGTAATGTTGAAATAATCAATTACAAAATAAATCACTTACTATCTATGAGTAGAGGATAAGCTACTTATTATCCGATATTATATAGGAAAGTGGCGTATTGAACGTCAAATTACGACACATAAACAGGTGATACACAGTACAGATTAATTAATTAGCTTTATGTACGATATAAAATTAGATAACTCACAAAACAACAAAATTACTTATTTAAGATAAGTTAGAAAGGTGATTCACTTAGCACCAGAAAGTGTAAGATTGATTAGACAGTAGTTGTATAGGTTGTTGTTGTTTTCTTAGTACAAATCTACTCGCAGTGAATCGAACCCTGGAGTCTTAACGTTGCAAGTACGCAAATTTAATGCTGACCCGCCGAAGGACTTTACTGGTGGTATAAAATATTTACTTTTTGGTTTTGAACTAAAGGTGGAAAGGAATACGATGCAAGATATTAATTTGTTTCAAACATTTCTGACGAGTGTAGAAAGTCATTAGAAATAAAAAACGAACAGGTATGCGTGTGCCTTATAACACAAATTTAAAACACTGTTAGTGGTTGGAAAATAAAACACAACTGATAGTAGTTATTGAGTTTTATCAGTACAACTAGCAGAGGTCCACAAAACATTTGCGGACAAATTGGTATCTTTATTACAACAGTACTTCTTTAAATACGGGATTTCTAGAATAATACAAAATAATTCTAACGACAGACACCGAAATCTACAAGTCCACTTATCTTAGGCCTAACTTTAGTTAAGCCTGTATTAAGTAAGGCCTATATTCGATAAAGAGATAGATTAACACTGTAACTTGTGTACGTTTTTTTTTTTTTGCTTTAGTTCAATTAGGGCTAAACCTTACCGCTGTATCAATAAATAATTTTCTAATTTTATTGTACAACCTAACGTTAGACCTTTTTAAAAACTTTGATAAGCTTTTAATATGCTGTATAAAATGTCTACTAAAGTATATTTACGTCCTTTCTGAAATAACTGGACGATTTAACAAAGATACGTTTTCAAATTGCCAAATATGGTGCAATTTTCTGTATATTTTAGTCCAAATATATCTTTAATTTTCGATCAGTCGTAGACTACTCGCTTCTAATTGACAGGAAGCCAAACTACTTAAATTACGTAATAAGTTGTTATGACATCAGTGCGTGACTGAGAGACAGACAGATACACATTGTATTTTATAGTATTAGAAGATTATAATAAAATTTAATCTGGCTTAAAAAACTACACCAACTTACCCAAATAAAAAAAAAAAATTCTCAGTATCAAATAATTTGTTTCAGCGCAAGGCCACATGTTGGATAATCTGTATTCGTCCACCTCAGGTAATCGAACCCAGGACTATAGCGATGTAAGTCCGTAATATTACCGATGACTCACCGGGGGACAAATCATATAGAAACTTCCGATCCGGAAAATTAAGACCACAAAATAGAAAGGGCTTATTTTTCTACTTACTGCTATTAGATAGAATAACCTATGCCTACCTGAAACCATAGCAACAAACAACCTTGGTGTAATCTCCAGAACCTGACAGCTGCACGAACTCCTCGTGCCATCAATGTTGCCAGGTCCTCGGTTTTTTCAGTTATTCATATTGGACAAATTATCCATGACAGCAAGCTTACTTAGCCTGCCCTCTGGAAACAAGCTATAGGGTAAAAACTCTCTGGCTTTTGTCTCGTGAAGTAGCACCTCGTGTGCGAACCTCCTTTTTTTTCTAATTGTTTTATTAAAGGAGTCACTCGACTGCTTGCACAAAAGAGTTACGAGACTGACTGTGACGTCAGAGTTTACGTAATAATTTGTCGTTAATAGTGACGTGTAGATGAACTGGTATTGAAGCATCTGTAGAACTTTGTTACTGTTAATTCTAATAGTGATAAGCATCGATAATTCTAACAGTCGTAGATATGAACAGAAACTGTGGCAATGACGTTTTATAAAAAGATACTTTACTACAGCGGAAGTCACGTGACGCTGGTAACACGTAATGAGTATCTCGAACGTTCCTGAAGGCTCGAGTGTTTGCTAGACACGCGCTCTTATAGTTTATAAGCCGGCAAATAAGTGACGAGATAGATAATTGCAGACAGACAGAGACGAACAATTGAGTCAAGCCTTAAGTAAAGTGCGTGAATCGTTGTGAATTATAGCGTGTGTTGAAGTTAAAGTGACTGTGGAAATTAAGTGTATTGCAAAGTTGTATTGACAAAGAATAAACTAGTTTTATTTAAGAAAGGACTTGTATCGCTGAAGTTTTTCGGAAAGAATTTCTATGGAAAATTAACAAACGGCCAGAGACGTAACAATACTATGTAAGGACAGATGCGTTTTTTATGTAGTATTCTAACAGTGATAAGTATAAATAAAGACTGTAACAGTGACGTTTTAAACAGTGGTAGGTATTTACTCTAGTTGCCTCTTCCTACGAAACCTTTTGATTGATTTTTGTTTATATCAAGCTTGGTTTCAGTTACGATAATCAGTGTAGAAATGTGACGATACAGTCGTGTAAACTTCCAGATACTTGTGACGATATTCGACGAAAAACGAAGTAGAATGGTTATTTTGTCATCCATTTTTTTCTCTTAGTTTCCTTTTTCGTTTATATTAGAACGAAATTAAAAATCCTCAAACTACGAAAGGCAAAACTACAGTCAAAAACTGTCGTATAACAAACAAACATATTATAAGTTGTTTGTAGCCATGAAGGGTGCTTTTAAGGCGATTGTTTAAAAACAAACTACTGACGGTTTTAACTGTTAGTGTATCACACACTTTTAAACCTTACTTAATTACTAACAGTTTGTTTCACGCCGACTGGTCGTGGCTTACTGATTAGTGTGATGGATTGTGGATCCAATGGTCCGTCGATCGCGTCATGTTGCCACACACACACACAAATCTGGCACTTTAGGACTACTAGCAGGAACGACTGTTTGTGCAAGTAATTAGTAATCGTAGTATTCATACCTCATTGAAAAAACAAATGTAGAAAAAGTGAACATTTTCTTTAAAAGTATTTTTTTTCTGGGAAGTACAGCACTGGAAAAGTTTTTGGATTGTGCTCTTTAGTCATACGCAACTCATTGCATCAAAATGATTCAATGTACAGAGCTCAAAATGTTCATAAAATTTACTGATATAAACTGTAATGTTTTTATATATTAAAAGTGGTATCGCTTATTGAAAAATGATGTTTTTTCTACATTTAAAAAATTAAATCAATAAAGATACTATCAAACCCTCGCGTATAGTTCTAGTGAAAGT